TGTGGGGGATGAGAGGATTCACCAGAGACAGAGTGGGGAACAGAACAGGCAGGTTGACTGAGATACACTGCTGAGGGGAGCAGCGGGCGAGTCAGAAGAGGTCTGCTGCACCATGTGGGTTGTTCCCTGGCCAGGGATCGAACTCATGCTGCAGTGGCTGCGGATTGCTTCACAGGTTTTGTCTTAACCCTTGCGCCACCAGGGAGACCCCTATATTGTATTTAGAAAGAGAAGAAGACCTCAAAATACTTTTCCAAAGCTGGTTGGGTTGGAGAAGTTCATGTCTAAATTTGATATGCATAGCAAGTTTGGTGAGACAGGTCAAAACAGACATGGATAAATCACTCATATATCTTGGATTGTCATCAAATGTTTTAAGGTCCCTTTGTGCAGTCTGAATGTTAGAGTTCATAATTATAAAACTAAAATCATCATTTTACAATATATTCCTATTAATGGAGTAAGGGTTGATAAACTACCCTAATTAGATATATATTTGTTATGTGTATTGCACACACACACACACACACAATTCAAGCCGTTAAGATGTCATATTTCGTCTCTTGTACCACTTAAATTTTCTTCTATTTCCTGAGTCATAGGATTTGTGTTTATTAGTATCCCTCTCCATCTTCTTTAGGATTCCCAGAACCCTTTCTCAGCTACTTTTATTTTTTTTAAAGATTTATTTATTTATGCATACAAAAACTGGGGTACAAGCCAGAGGTGTGGGGCGGGGGGATGAGGGGATTCACCAGAGACAGATTGGGGAACAGAACAGGCAGAGTGACTGAAATACACTGCTGAGGGCGAGACTGTTGAGCAGTGGGTGAGACATGAGAGATCTGCTGCGCCATGTGGGTAGCTGCCTGACTGGCTGGGGATTGAACTCATGCTGCAGAGGCTGAGGATAGCTTCATAGTGCTGTGCTTAACCCCTTGCGCCAGGGAGGCCCTTAGCTACTTTTAATATATGTGATCAAATAAATCCCAAATGAACTTTGTATAAATCAGTAAAGGTCAAATATTTTCTACATTCCTATATATTATTTGTACTTTATACTAGCATTTTCTCAGTATTTCCAAATACATTGGCAGGATTGAGATTATTCAAAATTTTTTAGATAATCTTGAATACCTTGGGTGAATGTAAAGTTCTCTCACGTTAATAATATTTCTAGTTGCCACGGGATGCAGCCATAATGTGGGGATGCAGATTGATACAAAGCTTAGCTGATATGTCCTTACTGTCACCGTATTTTGAGATATGTACATACACACGTATCTTTCCATGAATATATGTACATACAGTAGATATCAATATGAAAATATATATCAGAAGGTAGCAAAGCAAAGTGGCCAAAAGCCTTTGTGCTGGATTACAGTGGTTTGAGTCCAAATTCCTTGACCTGCTGATTAATCTCTGTACTTCAGTTTCCACATCTGTAAAATGAGATAATAAAATTGTGTGTGGGGGGGTAAGGATTAAATGAGTTTACACAGGCAAATGCCTGTGAAATGAAGGCATTTAAAAACTTCAGTTATTAATATCTACACCATATGGATATATACCTATGTGTATGCAATACATAATGACTTAACTTACAAAATAAGATAATTTCTATATGTTGCTAAACCTTTTATATGTGTGCTTCCTGTATGACATTTTTAGATTTTCTTGGAAATTTCACAGTGATCTAATGACAGTGTGAATGAGCATACCTACACAGCTCATGTCTGGACTATACCTAGTATATATTTGGCATTTTAAATTACACACCCAGTGGAATAATATTTATCACTGAAAACTGGTCTAATACTGAGTGTAAATGGCATCGCAGTGGAGCAGTCAGGTTTGCATGCCAGCAAGACCACTAGAAAGTTGTATGATTTTGGACAAATCCTTTAACCTCTCTAAGCTTTAGTTTTCTCACTTGCAAAACGGGAGGTAACATTTCCTGCACATTTGTGGCAAAGAGAGTTGAAATACATTTTTAAAGTGCTTGGCCAAGAGCCTGGCACATAATAAATGCCTGATAAATGGAAACACTGATCTTTAATGTGTCAGTCCTACTTCCAATGTAGATTGTTTTTTTTTTTTAAAGTCCAGCACAAACATCCCACTGGACGGTTTTGATCAGCGATGCTGTTGCTATGTAGTGATCATGGTTAGTCTTCACGGCATGTGGTTTCAATAATCATAAATGGTTGCAAGTGCTGCTGCCTGGAGGAAAGGTTGGTGTAATTCAAGTTTCACCATCTATCACCAGGCAGCTTGCCACTTTGCCCCTTCATCCCTCTGTCTACCCCCGCCTGTCACCAGGAAGCTTATTAACCCCAGCAGCAGTCAGTACTGAAGAAGCAGTAGAAGCAGGGACCTTCAGGAGCTAGAACCACTCTGTTTGGTGGAGCTAGGCTAAGCAAGCACATTTGTCAACCATTGCTGGAGACCCAGGGCCACAAGACCCACTTTGTCCTTTTATTTTCATTGACCATGTTCTGAGAGAAAGGGCAGTGGAAGTTCTCTGTAAACAACAATCCCTTTTCAAATGTGATGCCTTTTCAAACAGTTGCTAGTGAGGGGAGATTTGTTGTAGTTTTGCGGGATTTGCCACTAGCACATTATATAAGGACCTGGACCTGACCTTGTATTAGCTCATCTTGAAAGCAGCTACCTGTGTGTTATGAGACTATATCACTCAGTGCATGCCAAGGAGTCCTCTGAGTAAAACACTTAAATTCAGAGAGAGTACAATTATTGATGAATTCTGCTTCACCAGAATTCTTTCCTTATAGGCAAGTGGCTTGAACTCAAAGCCTGAATGTCATGGGAAATGTGAGGAAAAGTAACATACAAGAAAGGTGTTCTGTGTGCAATCAGAGAATTGTTTCACACAGGCGGTCAGGCCTCATTGCCATAGCAGTTCTAATATTATCATCATCCAGGGTCTCTCTCATTAAATACTTAAGAAAACATAGTAAAAGTGTTTAAGGTCACACATTTTTAGAATGCCATATCCAGAGATATATCCAAGCAGTGAACGATCACACTACTTATAAATTCTCACAGATGATAATTTAGAGTCCCCATGAAAGCCCTCAGTTGATTTGATTGTCCTCTTAATTACTGGGCTCTGTGCTATCAAATATTTGTGGAAGAGGAAGCTTTCTTTATGGGAGTGGATAATAACCTGCTTTACACTTTGAAAATTTTGCCTTGAGTTATTAAGATTTGCATTTCTCACTTGTGTTCCGAGGAAAGGTGTTTAGCCATTTTTAGAAAGCAGGTACCAAATAATCAATCGTCAAATACCCCAGAAAGTTTCCGCCCTAGCCAAGTGCAAAATCTCAGGTATTAACAATCCACCTCCAGAAACAAATCTACAAAGGGTGGAAAGTGGGAGAAAGGATGTATCACTTTTCTAGGTGAATATATGATGATTGCCATGTGTTGCATTCATTAAAAAAATATATTTGCCTACTAACTGCCCTTTAGAAACGAGCCAGAAAAAAAGTCTTCGAGAGGTGGTACAGGCAGGGAAGCTCTGAGCTTCGCTCCAAAGCTGCTTCAGTGCCCTGCTCTTGCAGGCACGTGAAGAACAAGCAGACGGTGGTCACTGATGTCCCTGCCGTGCTGCAGCACGCTGGGAAATCTGGGGGTGCTCAGGGACATGGTTCATCAGTGGGTGCGCGCCTGAAGAAAATCACAGGGATGGGGAAAGAGAACATGCAGATGGCATAAAGCTAGAGAAGAGGAGGGAACTGCTCAAAAAAGAAACGTGTTGCTCGTATTGTGTCTTAGTCCCCTTCCCACTCCCCTTCCCCCAGACCCGCTTCCTCCTCGTGACACCTCTTTCCCCGCCCCTTTCTGGACACCAGTTCTAGAAAGAGCCTTTGGGACCCCCATCCCCCGCCACCCAAGTCAGAGATCTAATAGGATTTTTTTTTTTCCCTCCTGGCAACCCGGCAGGCTGTTTTAAATCAATGAAAGTAAGATGGGAAGAGATAAGTGCGGAGCAGCCCGGGAGCTGTCAGAGTACACACTTCAATCAGCCCCACAGCTTCTGCTCAGGGCTTTACCCACCGAGTTTGTCCAGGTGGTGATGTAACCTGAAGGGTGTCTCCATCGGCTTCACGAGTCCACTCGAGTGTCGCAGAAGTCCAAGTCCCGTGCCCAGCCTTATTTGCCCCTAAGTATGAATGAACCTCTCTTCTTGGGCATTGGGTTCTGGGGCTTCACCCACAAAAAGCCAAATCAGTTTAACCACCCCGGAGGCAGGGTCGAGAGCGCCTCAAAACTTTTCTTCCTTCCCCGAGGAGTGGTGGTTACAGAATGCGGGTGGCGGGACCCGCGGGCGCAGAGCCGGCTCGGGGTGGCCGGGCAGCTGCAAAACCCCGGCTCTCCAGCCCTCGCGCCGCCCCAGCCGGGCAGACCGCGGTTTCCCTGGCAGGAGGTTCAGGGACACTCACAAGCCCCCCACGCGCGCCCTCCGTGCGGGCTGCACTGCGTGCACCCGGGGGTGGGGGCCAGAGGGGGCCCAGGTAATGAGGACTGGGCAGCGGGTGAGTTTCCAGCGCAGGGCAGAAGTTGACAAAGGGGACTTGACTAAACACGAATGCGTATTTTTAGATGCGAGCTCCTCCGAGATCTAGAGATAGCCCACTCTCTCTGCTTCCTTCCACTCCTGCCCTTTCATTTTATCACTCCCTGAAGTGGAGGGCAGATTTTTTTTTTTTTTTAAATACATTCCTGCACGGTGTGGGTAATCGCCGCGTAATTTACAATCTAGTTACTCTGCAGCAGACCGGGGAGCAAACTCTGGGGCTCCTTCCCTTCGGATGGCCAGAGAGGGCGGCCGGGCGGCCAGCGGCAGAAAGGAGGTCAGGGTGGGTTTGCGGGAGCTCAGGGGCGACCTGGAGGGGGCCGGAGCCCCCGGCGCCGCCCCCGCGCCCGCCCCCGCCGCGCCCCCCGGGGCGGGCGCCGGGCCGCGGTGACCGCCGGCTGGTGCGCTGCCCTCGCCTCCCCCATTGTTCCTACTGTCTTTTTGCCTTTTGTTATTTGCACTCGCATTGTGTTGTTTGTCTCTGAAGCCGCCTCATGACCAGCCAAGGGATTTCACCTCGTCCTTGAGAGCTACACGGGGAGCGCGAGCGAGCGAGCGAGCGAGCGAGCCGGGGGGAGAGGGACACGCGCGCGCGCGCACACACAGACACACACAGACACACACACACACCACACACACACACACACACACGCGCGCACGCACACACAGGAGTGTAAAAGGAGAGCCACCCAAACCCATCTCCATCTCCTCCCGAGGGCCCCCAGCCCGCCACTGTGCCACTTTGCATCCCACGCCAGAGGACACCTTAGGAGAGCGGGTAAGGTGCGTGAATCGCCGCGTTTTAACTTTGTTGTCGGTCCCCGTGCGGCGGTGGGCAGAGCTCCAAGGCGCAGAGCTCCCTGCGCCGCTGCCGTGCCGCCGCGCGGCGCGGGTGCCGGGCTCCAGCTGGAGAGCTGGCGCGGGAGCCGCGGGAGGGGGCCGCCCCGGAGTTTCCCCAAGTCCAGGGGGAGGGGGCCGGGCTGGGGGAGCGAGCCGCGCCCGCGGCTGCCGACGGGCGGCGGCCCTGACACCCGCGGGGGCGGCCGACACCGTGGCCTTGGCCCCGGTTCAGGCCAGGGGATAACTTTGGATGAGCGTGGGGAGGCTGCGTGCGGCGGCTGGTATTGTTTTCCAAGTGGCCGCGGTGGAGGTGGTCCGCCGAGGGCAGGGCAGGGGCTCAGGAAGAGCTCAGGCTCGGGTGTGCATGCCAGCCAACGCCGAGCGGCAGCCCCCAAAAGTTGGACAAAGCCCCTTACCCTGCCGCAGTTAGGAAGGCGACCCCCCAGCCCACCCACTCAACCTTAATTTTGCCCCCTTTCGTCTTTTTTGTTTCGCTTTCTGCCATCCCCCTTCTTACCATTCCCCCCCTCCCTGCAGCCCGGAATTTCGGAAACAAGTCTCATCCTTCTGGATTCTAGGGATTTCAGAGACCGGAAGCTTTCGTTTTAATTGCAACTACTTTTTCCCCACCCCACTCAGTACACGAAGTGGAGACCACTCACGTGCTGTCACTTTAAGCGCGGGTTTAGGAGATCCCACCAGCACTTTGGGGCTACAATAAGAAGCCAGGGAAAGAGGTTATACGAGTTGAAATCAAATTGGATTTGGAAATGTTTGCGTTTGATAGCAGCAGTTTATGGCGTATTGATCTGCTGGCAACTGATGCACACGAAGCACTGTTTACATATTTTAATAGTCATTTTCCTTACACTTTGCAAAGCGAATATGTTAATAAATAGATTGACGCTGGTGACTCTCTGAAGACGTTGGCTTCTGTGACTGCATTCAGAATGTGGTGAATGTGAATTTAATGTCTTCCCTTTTCAACTAAAGCAGGTCAAAAGGAGGGATTCTGTGACTATGCAAAAACGGGTATTCCCGCAGTCTGGCCAGCCGGGCACTCTGGGTGGCAGACAACTGTACTTCAGAAAAGTTTAGGGATTTGTTCTAACGCAGTTGGATTTCTCACAATATCCAGATATCCCAAGTAGTTTTCAAGAAAGGCATGAGCCCTTTTCCCCAGAGACTGCCTTCCTGCTCAGCACAGTTCTTTAGTCAAAGGCAAGACCAAGGGAGATCTGTGGGATTTTGGGTAATAAGTGTGGGAATCTGCAAAGGGACTAGACAGAGTGATTTGTTTCCTTGCTGCTCATAAATAATGGCCCCTAGTATCCTTAAAAAAAAAAAAAAAAAAAAAAAAAACCACACAAACAAAACAGGCCAATGAAGTAGGCGGTGGAAGATTTGTAGGCAATGGACATTTCAATCAGAAAAACCAGAGCAGAGTTTTTGATCTGGATTACAGGAGTGAGTCTCGATTGCCAAGAGCGATTAGGTTAAGGGCCAGATGGTTTTAAAGTATACGGAAATGTTTTTTAAGTTTGACTTTTATAGCATTTACAAGGAGGACGATTTCTGAGATGAGAGTCTTTACAGAACTGCTCAATTTTGTTCTGTCTAATTTTGAAGGAATTCAGCTGCATGTGAACTGTTGTAAGCCCTGATAGGGAAGGAATCTGGTTTCAAATGCAGATACAGTGAGACAAAGTTTCTGGGGGTGCTTCTTCCTGATTTAAATATAGCTCTGAGGCTGAAGCCTAGATAAATCCAGCCGCAATGATTTAAAATCAAAAGTACTTACACTGAAAGTTCTCTTAGGCATTGTGCAAAGTTCTCCTGCAAATTATGTCATCAACTGTTTATTCCTCAGAACTATACTAGATAAAAATCACAAGCATCACTTAAAACTGATGCAATACAGCCTTCAGTCCTTAAACTAGTAGGGATTGCCTTTGTTTGCCTAAAAGGTAGATCTTTCATCACATGAGTTGTTTAAAAACATTTAATTGTGGGGGTGGGAAGGGATGTGCATAATTATTTAGTTATTTGTGTTAATTATATAGCAGCATACTTGCTTGAAATTCTTTCTATTTTTTTCCTTTCTTTCCAGTGGTCTTCTTACATCCTTGTGCATAAAGAATTTAGAGTTTTTGTTTACTTGTGGGTTTTTTTTTAAATCTTTTTGTAGCCTTTTTGAATGGGCAACATAGAGCCAATCTGATATAGATTTGAAAGAGAAAACTCTTAATACAGGAAAAAAGAACACCAACTCTTAATACAGAAACCTTGTATTAGTTTTGTTGTTGACCTGACACAGTTCTGGTTGAATGGCATGTTATATACAAGATTCAAAACTCTCAAACTTATTTGGTAAATAAACAGGCATTTGCGATCCAGTGGTTATTTCAAGTTAACTTAGTTCTATACATGTAAATGCACATCCTGTTTAGACTGACACATGGTTTTGTAAAGGAAAAAAAAATGAATATATGCTTATAAAGATGTTATCTGTACAGTATGTAAATAGTAAATAACAGAAGAGTGGAGTTTATACTTAGGTATGATGACTTTTTATTTGGGCGGGTCTTTGATGGGGTTAACATTTAAGCTATGAGAGTTTAAAACTTCCTTTGCCACTTAAAAGAATGAATTTGAATGCTTGCAGAACTTTTTAATAAAGCAAATGAAAAATATGATATTTGATGAAAAGGATATACTGTCTTCTTGACAAAGCTGTCTTTTTCTGAGTGATCAGTAATCATTGTTCTGAAGGTATGTCGGGTTGTGTGTGTGTGTGTGTGTGTGTGTATCACACACATATGCACACACATACATATATATACACACACACATATAAAAAGTAATATCCAGGGCAGGATAAAACTTGTTTTTAGTAATCTCCTAAAATACACTGGATTTCAAATGACTTGGAGTTCTAATGTTGAACACTTTAGATTTCCAGCAGGTAAAATTGTTGGATATGATTGATTGGCACAACCTGAATGATTCACCCAATAGCTAACTACCTGCACTGGTAGAGAATGCTATAATTAGAGTTTTGAGAGGAACCTGGGAAATGTATTTGTCTAGGCCTGAATTCATTGCAATCCCTCACACACCCATCATAGATTTTTAGCCTGAGAAATAGAGATTTATTTTAGAGGCGAAGAAAGTGCTTGGCTGTTTCAAATAAACTATATCCAGGACTTAGATTTGTAGATAGCTAATAAAATAAAAGTTTCAATTTTGTTCCAAACATTGTTTTAAAACACCCATTTGTAAATTGTCTGCATTTGGTTTTCATATGTTAATGATTTGGGATCTGAAACTTCTTTCAGAAAGGCATTTTGGTTTATCTTAAAAAACACCACACAAAACTGTCTAAACAACTCTGTAAATAAACTGTTCCAAATGCCTCAATTTGATGAATGAATTAAAGAATTATAGTTCTTAATCCAATTATGATCACTCTTGTTATTCCATTTCCCATTTGGGGGAACTTGGGGAGTAGAAATGGTAAATGAATCTTAAATGTGAGTGGGTCTGGGTGGTTTATTTGCTGTGTATGCTATATCCCAAATAATTCCTCATATCCAACAGTGAGGAGGATTTTAGACATAGATATATTATTAAATGATTATCGATAAAGCTGAAAATCACTCTTAATGGAGGAGTAAAACCAAGTTTTTAAGAATATGAAGCAAGGATCTAACCTTTTGTTTAAAAATAATGAATTTTATTGTAAAGGGGGAGACTGGATGCTCATTTGTTGGATATACACTCTGGAACTTTTAGTCACTTGCAGCTGGGTCATTTAGGGACATTTCCATGGTCCTGTTCAATCAACTTTACCAAATTCTATGTCCTTGTTTTTAAAACTAAGGGGAATATGCATTGGGGTTGTTTCTTTCAATCCCCTAGCCCTTTGTCTATATGGGGACTTTCAAATACTCTCTTAATCAGGGACATGAACATTAGGATGGGCCTCTGATAAGGACCCAGTTTGCTTCCATGAATCCTTCAGAATTCCTGCCCCATTTGCCCAATTTAACCTCTGGCTCATAAACTAATTAATTCGAAGATGTTACTAGCTCATTCATAGGTTTGATTTTCTAACTAGATATTGTTGTTGCTGCTATTATTATCATCATCATTACATTAAGAGTTTATTATGACCATCTAATTCCTTAGAGAAAAACTTGTAGAGATTACAAGTTTCATGAGAAGCTGCCAGAAAAAAAATATGTGTGAACACAGGGAGTTCTCAGTACCTCTCTAGTCCTCTAGTCCTACCTGATAGGCAAGTAATTATTCTACTTACAGGTAAGGGTGATATTCAGTAGGGGAAGCATATGAATAAAATTGGGGAGGGCAGTCATGAATGCATTTAAATAATATACTAAATAACCACCCTTTAAAAATTAAACCTAAAGTTTAAGAAAGCCACCCAGAAACCCCCCAAAAAATGCTAATTTCTGGGATTAGCAATGGTGGTGGTATTGAATTCTACAGGTGGAGTCCATTTAGTCTTTATTGCTTACAGTTCATGATAAGGTATTAAAAAATAACTTGGTTCTATCTTGGATACTTAATTAGTTGTCATTCGATTATTTCATGATGATGTGGCCCCATATCCAAAGGGGGCAGAGAGCAACAGGCAGGAAGATGGTAGGGCTCTGGTTGGCCTCCAGCCTGCATTCTCTGGACACTCAGACCCTGCAGCATCAAGTGACATGTTGGAATTAGGAAATTCAGGAGGGAACCAGCATGCATCAGGGGCATCCCACTATTTTGGGGAACATCTTAATTTAGGTGTAGGTATAATTCTTCTAAGACTTCATTTGGAGTTTTGACTATTCAGTATTGTCTACAGTTGGAGATTTTAATGCTTTTTTCTTATATGTCTTGGATTATAGTAGAAAGTGTATGTCAAATTCCTAGCA